TTTTTAAAAAAAAAAAAAAAAAAAAAAAAAAAAAAAAAAAAAAAAAAAAAAAACTAATTACACAACACCTACAGACACACACATAGATAGATCCAATATTTGCATTCCTAAAAACAATATATAAAGAGCGAAGATAGTAGAGAAATTAAGAAACCCTAAGTTACCGTGTTTAAGCATCTTGAGGAGAGCAAGAGAAGAGATGTAAACTTGCTCAGAAGAGTCCAGAGTGGGAGAGTCCGGTGGCGGGTGGCCTAACGCGCCACCAGCTCCGGCGAACATCCGCTGCAATCTTTCCATTCCAGACATTGATGGTTTTCTGGGTTTTGCTTTTGGGGATTTCTTTGAGAACAAGACTACTCCGACGGTAATTTCTTTGATCTGAGAGAGAAAACTGGGGATTTAAAGAGTTTAAAATAGTTATTGCACCGAGACCCCTATACTTTGATATTATGTTATTTATTGCCGAATTATTTCTTAGTAGGCAATTACTAGTAATGGATATTTACTTTTGGTTTATCGGTTATCGATTTATAAATATAGTAATGTGCTAGACAACCAATAAAATATCGGACAAAATAGTAACGGATTAGCGATTACTGGGTGATTTATCGGATAAATCAAATAGATAATAAAAAAAAAATAAGGGAAAATTTTAGGATATGTCACCTTGAGATTGCGTTCAATTGAACATTTGGCTTGAAACTTATACCTGATTAAACATTTTATCCTCACCTCTAAATAAATAGAAGAGATAGGAAACAAAACATAATCCGGAGAACATAGGCAACAAATGATTTTGACACAAAATATTTCAAGATATCAATCTGGATTCTACTATACAAACAAAGGGTCGTGGAAACTCACTTTCTCACAGCAATAATTTTCAAATTCCAGTTCATTCTGCCACAGAGATCAATTCAGATGATAATTCTTGGGACTGGAAATTCTTTTTTGTCTCTTCTCTCAGAATTTTTTTTACTGTGTGCCACCCTTATTGGTCTCCCCATAAGTTCCTATGGATAAGGATATAGGATTTCAAATAGTTATTTATATTCATAGAGGTAGAAGCGTAAATATAAAATTTTTAAAGAGTTAACGGTTTATCTGATAAGGAAATTGAGTAATTCGCCCCTAAATTATTAAGCCTTTAATTATAAAATCTTAATTCGTTCACTAACTATTACTCCGATACTAATAAACTAATTTTGCGATTCAGTTAACGGTTATTATTTGATTTTGAACAACCCTAATTACTAGGCATCCGGAGCTGCTAACGATATTTGGTTGAAGTTTTACAAATAAAAAAGACCATTTAAAGTTGAATTTGAAAAAGAGAATTTTAAAGTTAACAACTGAAGTTCTCTGGGTGAAAATCATTACACTATTTTACTATTCAAATAAGTTTTTTTGGTATTTCATGTCAAATACTGAATTTTAATATTTGCAATTACAAAAATAATTTATGGAAAACATCTCTAGTACTATAGTATATTTCTATGATTCTAGTTTGGCAATGTCAAATGTACTTGTTAGTTTAAAGTTAGGATGTATAAAACGGTAAAATTAATAAACAATTGGGTCATAACTTGTTAGTTGTTACAAAGTTTACTTCAAACACAGAAACGCTTGAATCAAGATAAGGTGCGCAAATCTTTATCTTTATATTATTAAAAAGAGAGAAAAAAATTCTCTCCTTAAGCCAAGCGGCAACCTAAAAAAAAAAAGCAACATGACATAAATAATTAATAATTAGTTATTGAATATTGTTTTCGACTTTTAAATATAAAATATTTTATAGTAAAAACAAAAATTGAAAAAACAAACTGTCCATTCAAATTGGAAAGTAATTTCAAGTTGGAGTTTTTAAACTAGTTTAAAATATAAAACTAAAATTACAAAAAATAAAATTTTCTGTTAACAATGTAAAAACAATAAACATTGGATAATAAAATAAAGAGAAATATAGAAAAAAAAAGTTATTCAATGACTATATAAGTCCCTTTAATTTAATAGCGATTTTATTATTGGGTATATCACATTGACAAATAAGATGATCATTGAAATGTATTAAACCAATACGATCTAATTTATTCAAACAAACCCGATCACAATTTAATTTAATTCATATTTTTTTAATATTGACCGCGCATCGCGCGGATACAACGTTTAAATTAAACAATTGGTTGTATGCGTAACCATTTTAAATTTACCTATTTGTTTTTAGTAATTTGTAATTACTTAAGCAAACTCAAAAAAAAATCCCCCTTTGTTATGATGGTTATATCTTGTGGCGTGAAATGGATAAACAAAACAGTTTTTCATCCATGTTATCCACTAAGAAATGGGTTGGATAATAAACTTTTTTTAAAAAAAGAAATTTTACCTCCTATAGCAAAGATTTATACCATATTTATTATAAATCAAAACCCTTTTAAAATATTAATTTTTATAGATACCTTTTATTTTTTATAGCAAAATGTATATTTATGATATATACTACCGTTAAGGCATTAAATACGCTGTGTATTATTTTTCTCTCTTATTCTTTCAGTTATTCTCTCCCAAAATCACCACACTTTATATCTTTCTTTCTCTCTCCACGATCTCTCTCTCACAACAAGATTATATTCGCCATCGTTGAACCACGATTATCTCGCTCAATTTCAACATTTTTGCTCCAAAAAATTGTGGTAAGTGTTAAAAAAAATTGGGTTTTTTTTTCGGTTCAAGCTTCTTCTTTTTCTCTTCACCTTTTTTTTTAAAATCTTCACCATTGTTAAGTTTTCAGCAGAAAACTTCAAATTTCCTCTTCAATGACTGATTCAACAACTCCGAAGAGGGTTACAATATGCCCACTAAAACACTCAATTTCCTGGGCCATCTTTCGATTTGTAAATCACTCAAGAGGAATCTGTATTTGCAGATTCATCAGCAACCATTGAAGCCGAAAGGCGAACAAAAATAATACGCAATGACCCTGTGAAACAATGTCACGATGAGAAATCGTCCAAAAAATCAACACTTCCTCATGTGGAAAAGAGAAGAAAACTTATCGATGATGCTTCTAGGAGCATGGGAAAAGAGGCCACTAAAGGAGGTAGCTCGGAAACACAGAAGAACAAGGTAATTGTAGATGTAATTATATGTATTTGAGTCCGCATACACTAATTTTTAGTTTGTACAGTAATTTTCTTGTTGTATTTAGATGTATTTATATGTATTTGAGTCTGTATACACTGATTTTTAGTTTGCACAGTGATTTTTTCTTATTGTAGTTAGATGTATTTATATGTATTTGAGTTCATAAAATAATATTTTTAAACACACCAACACTTCTATCATTATTGCCATAACTCACGGTTGTTTATTTGTAATTATCAGTGTATTTTGATATATTCATGAATGAGTTATGTATTCATGTATTCGTTGTATTGTATGTACCGTATTTTGTATGCAACGAAAATAATGTATTTCATATATACATGTATTTATAATGTTTTGAACCCATAAACTACCTATATCAAAAATAATTAAGGTGATGTATCAACCTAAATGTATTCATATGTATTTTCAAGCATATATTTATCTTTTTTGTTGTGCTTGTATGCGGAAAATAAAACTCTTTGTTAAACACCGCCTATTTTATCGCCGCATATTAATTCCTACACTAACACCGACATAATCTCCGACCTCAAAGAAAATCTTACTCCAGAGCAGTACAAATTATTTGGTAATACCTGTTTTGGAGGATTCCTCAGTATGAAGCACTGTGAGGTTACAACATCAGTTGTTCAGGTGCTTCATGGTTCTGAAGCTGGAAGAAAGTCCTATTGACTCATTTTTAATACATGTGAATGGTACAACATTATGTTTTTCACTCAAGGATTTTGCGGTAGTTACTGGTCTCAATTGTGTTAGTGACACTAACGATTTTAAGTTTAACACAAAGAGGCCTAACAAGATTATGGAAACATACTTTGGCGGTGCAAGACATTCAAGAAGAAAGATTTGTTGAAATGCTTTGATGATAAGAATTGGGGTTTTGACAACGATGGAGACAAGAATGAGCTGGAGGAATATAAAAGTGAATACATTTATTTTTGAAATACAGCACAATACAGTAAAATAATCTCAATACTGTCACGACTTAGAATTTCACCTTCTACACTGTGATGGCACCTAACATTTCACTTTCTAGGTAAGCCAACGTTAGAGGATCCTTAAGCCAATGTTTATTCAATTTCAATAAATAAAGTCAATTAATCCAAATAGAAGCTAAAATTGAGTGCGGAATAACATAAAATCCCATAATATCTAATACAATCTGGATCTGGAATCACAACTCACGAGCTCTAGAATTTTTACAAACAATGTCTGAAATAAATACAACTGTTGTGAATGAAAAGAAATAGTAAAATAGGGGAAATAAGAGGGAACTTCAAGGTCTGCGGACGTCAGCAGATCTACCTCGAGTCTTCAATGAGAAAATCCAAGTTGTTACGCCTCACGAACAGCTGGGGCCAGTACCAAAGTTTGCACAACAAGTGCAGAGTATAGTATGAGTACAACCGACCCCATGTACTCCTTAAGTGTCACGCCTAACCTCGATGAAGTAGTGACGAGGCTATGATAAGACACCCACATAAATAACATGTGTAAATAACAGTATACGGACAAGATAACAACGAATAAAATCTAATCATGTACTATTGGGAGGGGACATGCTAAAGGGGTAGAAAATATGGTAATTACAATGGAAATGATAACCAGAATAGTCAATATGCCTTTAGCCAGTACAACGAGTAAACACAATAAATAAAACTGCACGGCATCACCCTTCGTGTTTTTACTCTCAACCTCACAGTGAAACAATAATTACGGCACGACATTACCCTTCGTGCTTTTACACTCACTTTCATCACAAATCAATAGATACGGTATGACATCACCCTTCGTGCATTAATTCTCACAATATGGCACGACATCACCCTTCGTGCATTCACACTCTCCCTTACCATATAACAATGAACAAGTAATAACAGGGAGATAGAATCAACAAGAACAAGCCTTACTTTAATAATGGTTCCACAATAACAATCTCAACTTTAGAAACAATACTCAGTTATCACAAAAGCCCATAAATGTGGTAAGAACGATCAATTTAACAAGTAACTAGTCTAAGCATGGATAACATGACCAAAGTAAGCAATAATTACAAGGAACAAGCCCCACTCGCATGCTTTAATCTAACAACAACACATAATTACTCGTCACCTCATATATATATTATACCTAACCTCTAAACATGTAGCAAATAGACAATCAATGTCCTAATCCCTCAAGTCAAGGTTAACCACGATACTTACCTCACTCCAAGGATCAACT